ATGCCATAGGCTAAAATTCCAGTAAAATGCCTATAACTCTGGACAGAAGGCCTAACAGCACTTATCCTTTTGAGGTTTTTCATACCTCACTGGGGTCTACCTTATGCACACAGTTCGAACTCAAAAGCGATTGGACAGTTGAAAACGTTCCCTCGTGAGACAAACAAAAACTTCTATAGAAATATTTGCATTATAGATATGAATGCACATATTTTCTTTGTTAATCTGAAGTTCAAACAATACTACGTTAACTTTGATTCAAACTTAAAATTATCTTCATTCTATTGAAAACAAAAAAAAAAAGAAAGTAAATCAATCAATCCTTACATTATGAACTTTCTTTAATAATTCTAAAATAGCTTCTAAAACTGTTTGATATTGTTCTGCTGCCAAAGCTGAACCTGTACTATTTATTTGAATAATTTTAATAACGAGAGGTTTATATAACTAAAACAACAAAAATAAAAGAAAGAACCATTGGATAAAATCTTAAAATATTATATTTACTTCAATTATTCTTTGTACAAATTTTCTTCCAATATTTAATATCCAATAATCTAATACTCGTCCATCAGCTGTTTTTTTTAAACGTGTAGCAGCTTGTGCAAATGGTGCTGTTACAGTTTCAAATGATTCTTCATTTTCAAATATATGACAAAATGGCAAAACAAGATAAACACGTAATGCTTCAAAACAAGGAGCTGTTTCAGGTAATGTTAAAAGTATGGATTGAATATGTTCAAATAACTATTCAAAGCAAAAAATATATTAAAGAAAAAAAACATAATTAAACAAACCAATTCTTGAATTTTTGGATCACATGAACGTAATTTTTCCATAACAGCAATAACTTGATCAAGATCAATACCTGGATTACTTGATGATGTACGAAAATGTGTATCAGGCAATGATAAAAATGAACCATTTAAACATGCTTCAGTATTAAATAATCGAGCTAATTTTCTAAAAGAAATTTTTATTTCTTAGTTTGTTTTTTTTCTTTTGTCAATAGAAAATAAAACCTTTCAACATCTTTAAATGTATCTGAACTTTGTGAAGCATTATTGAGCCATTTAGCAAAATCAAGATTTAATTCAAGAAGTGGACGATTGGTATATGAAGTTCGATAATCATCTGGACGGTGTGCCTAAATTAAATATTCTCTTTATTTTCTGTTTTTCTCAGAGAAGAAAAAAAACACAAAACCACAAACTCGAGAAGATATTCGAACAAATATTTGATGACCACCAGCATATATTCCAATAACTTGAAGATTTGTTTGTACAGTTTTTGTGTCTCCGGATTTGTATTTACGATTTGATGATGTATAATTTCTATCTGTTGATACTTGTCTATTAAGCTAGAAATCAAAAAATAAAAATAAATTTGAGATTAACCTTATATATGATTTCTAATTACTTGTTTCATTGTTTTATATGGTAAAAATGGTATTGCTAATTTTTGTGGTATTGTTGCATATGTAGTTAATTTTGTATCTATACGACCTGCACAAGCCAATCCGAATGTGGATATGTGACCAATATTTGGCATGAATATGACTGTATGAGATCTAAATCAAAATAGAAAATATTCATAGCTATTATTTGAAATTGGAACTAAGTATAAATCTATTTGAAACTTCTGATATATATATATATATATAGTTTACAGTGAGTAGAAAAGCTACATTTCGTAGTGCTGTGAAATATGAATTTAGATCATACTAGAGTTATAGCGTTGTGCTCAACAACTATCGAATGTAGGTATTAATGAAATAAATAAGGCTTTTTATAGGGGTTAGTGAGATCAACTCTTAAGCCTGGATTGAAATTGCTGTCACAGACTTTCTTTGACATCTATATGAATGTTTTCATTAAAAATTTGAATATAGATTAAAGTTTTGTATTTGTATTATTTATAATAAACAGATTTGTCTCAAAATTTGTATTTTGTAGTTATTCACTAAAGGCACATTGTTTGGTTGTTAAGTAAAACAATGTTTGTTGACCTAGATGACTAATAGTAGTTTATTTAAAGAAACAATTGATCTTGTTGCACTTATAAAACTACATTATCTTTGAGAAATAGAGAAAAGAGAATACAATGTATGACGTATAGAAATGTGCGAAATTAAGTGTTTCTATGTGATCATGATAACTTTGTCTTTTATGAATCTAATTGCGTATATGTTAGGTTATTCGAAGTGTATATAGTTAATTAATATAGGTTTCCTTCGTTTACATTTGTCAATAAGTTTGGAGAAAACAAAATAATAATGGACTCGAAAAATAAAAGTAAATTGCGTTTTTGTATTATTTCTTTCTAAAAATACATCCTTTTCTTATTTGAAAAATTCTTTTAACTTTAAAAGTACATTTGGATCATCGATATAATCAATTTCAACAAAAATAATGAATAAGTCTTAATCTGTTAAGACATACCTTCCACAAGCTATTTGTGAAACTTCTGAACCCATTAATTCAGATATTTTTCTTGGTAATAGTTCATCAGATGTAGAATTATGTCCAAGTTGTCCATGTGAACTAGATCCAAATGAAAAAACTCCTCCTTCAAGTGTAATAACAACTGAATGTTTTTCTCCACATGATGCATAGGTAGCTTTTTGTTGTTGTAATGATTTAACATTACTTGGCCATATACGAGAATCAGTATCACCTAGACCTAATTGACCTGATCTATAATTAGTATAATCATCATGTTAAAAAAAAACAACAATAAATATTTTCTTTATAAATACTTACGAATTAAGACCACATGTAAAAACAGTTCTATAAAAAAAAAGAAAATGCCAATTTTATAATTAATAAAAATATTCTTTCAAATTTTTACTTACCCACTTTTTGATATAATCAATGAATGATGTGCACCACAAGCTATAAAAATAATAGGACTACCTCGAAGACATCCAATTGGAGTTGCACGAACACAATCATGATTATGTCCTAAACCGAGTTGTCCATGTGCATTAACTCCTGCTGCATAGACTGTTCCATCCTATATTTAACTAAATTATATTTATAAGTTCATTCTTTTAACTTACATCAGTTAATCCAAGACAATGAGTATATCCAGCAGCAATCTGTATCATTCGTTTTTCATTAAAACCTCCCAAATATCTAATTGACAAACAAAACATATATACATATTAATTCTTACTCATTATTATCAAACAAAAATAAGATCTTACTCAGGTTTTTCATAAAAAAATCCATCATCATTTGTTACTTTTCCACTTAATGAACCCCAAATAATTATTTTTCCATTTGATGTTAAACAAAGTGAAAAATGTTGTCCACATGCAACTTGAACAACATTAGCTTGTTGAGGTAAAATAACTTTTTCTGAAAAACAATATAAAACAAAGTTTTTGAACAAAACATACGATGTTTTTCATGTCAAATCTTACCAGGTATTGTCGTTCGACCTTCTCGACCTAATTGTGAATATTCATTATTTCCTGCTGTATAAACACTTCCATCATCAAGTAAAAATACTGAATGTGTTAATGAACATGCAACTTGTATACATATATAATCATTAAAAAATGGTATACGTTGTGGGGTAGGAATAAAACTTGTTACTGCTGATGGACCTAAACCAAGTTGGCCATGGACATTAATACCCCACCCAAGCATTATATTGATTTAAAGGTGAAATGCACGGAATTGAACCAAAAAATACGACAATGACGCAATGAAGAAAAAAAAACAGTTTCTAGAAAAAGAAAAGAAACACTAAAATAATTTGCTTTCATTTTATTGACTTTCTTGAACAAGCTGCGTATATTATTTGTTCTTTACTCCAGCTGACTTTCAACCTTTTTAATAATCTAGAGAAACAAACCAATCAACCAACCAAGTCTTATAATATCAGAAAAAGATGGCGTAAGAATATTGCTAAAAATAAAAATTTAATCATTATATTATTATTCATTTCTTTTCTTCTTTTTTTGTCTACAAATAATTCTGAATGATTGTGCTTGATGTTGTATTAAAAATAATTGAAATGACATGCCTACAAGAATATAAGCATTTTTCTATTTCGATTCTTTTTTTAAAACCTAATCGATCGACATATTCATTGGTAACTTGAGTATGTTTGCATTCTGTGTTTTTCGTTTCTTTCAAACATATTTCAATTTTGACAGTTATTTATTCTTGATCATGATTAAGGTAATTTATTACAATTGAATTTTTTGTATGGTACTCTTGAAGATCTCCATTGCTATTATATGAAAAATGTCTATTGTATTTGTTTCTTGAAAACAAAACGTGTATTACTACAACTTGATATGGTTTGTCTGCAATCATCATGTCAATAAACATTGAAATGTAATTCGTTTTTATGAAGAGAGGCATATGTCTTTTCAAGATTTTATTAGCTGAGGCAAATCTTCAAATAAAAAAAAAGCGATGGTAGAGAATGTAACGATTTTTAAAAAAGCTTGAATAAGAACACCCCTGAAAACTAATCCTAGATGTTGACATCTTTCTACAGTTTAGTATTTATTTTTATATTATGACATCAATGACTTGCGGCTGTTTACTAGAGTGTTGGTGGTGGTTTAACCCATTGACTTACATCTCTATTCCTAAGTGTTGTACTTTATCAAAAACATACTGATTAACACTAGACACTACATAGATTGAAAGATTTTGTCAACATATCAAACAATAATACGGCAAACGTCAGAGGAATGAACTACATCATTTTTATTATGTTGAGGATTCATTCGGTATTGCGTCAAAGACATGAACAACTTCGAAGTACTACTAATGTAGACACATAACATTCTAGTCATCTATATATATTTATCGGCATATATATTGTCTGATCAGCTAAAAAAGAAGAACACATTTAACATGTCATATATTCTGTTGATCTTGTTGTTAACAGAAAATTTATTAAAATATCAGTTTGTTTTGATAGAAAGCTGAGGGCACAATTCCTGCGAGATTAAAATGTAAAATCGCACATAGCTGCTGTTGCTAATCACAAGAAGATTGTTTGAGTCTATCCAGTTTGAGAGACATCAACTCAACATGTCTTTTAGTTTATCCTCCAGCAATGCAATAAGGAAGTAGTTCATATATTAGAATGAGAAGTTACTGATAAACAGTCTATGAAAGACGTTCCAAATTTTTACTTCTAGATCTCTACATTCCTTTTAGATCATGTTTCACACAAGATACTTCATATTTTGCCTCTCGTTATTGATTTAGGGTACTGCTAACGTGATTTCGTTAAGGTCAATATTTTTCTGATAGTTGACAAATTCTAGAAATGGTCACTTATCTTCTTAATGATCATCAAACTATAGATTCGGATGAAAGATCGGTCTGTCGGAGAATTCTTCTCATTCATTAAACTCTCCATACATATTTTATATCAATATGCCAATTATCTCTAGAAGATATGTCGATACGATAAATTTTAGTACTCAAATTGTAGTAAGTATGCTAATGAAAGAATGATTAGAGATAATACTCATGAGTAACTTACTCGAAATTTGCCACTCAACAAAAAATGTACGAAATAGTTTTCTATACAGTGTGTATAATTTAAAATTCTTTATTTCAATTTTGAATATTTAGCAGTGGAATAGAGTTGAAAAATACAAAATGATATTTATGCACAAGATCCAAACTTAAAACTTGTATAACAATTTGAATTAATTTTATTCGATCTCTATCTTCGTCAGAATGTAATATTTACAAATATTTGTCTCATGACCGAAATGAAATAATATTTCTCTTACTGTTTTACATGCTAATTATTGTGATTATTTCTCACACTTTGCTTAAATTCATCATAGATGAGAAGAACAAAATAAAGAACCTAAACAATGTCTTTACCATCACCTCATTATTTTTCCAAGTATCTTTTTACGATTCATTCAACCATGTGTCTTACTAATGTTTTTTTTCTTTTACAATATATTGCATATCAGATCGTTATGATGATGGAGAAGATAACATCGAACCAAAATTCTATTTCTGACTTTGAATCTTCAATAATTTCAAATACAAGTGTGAACAATGCTAATCGTCCTATTAATGGAAAACGGGCTAGAAAATTAAAAGATACACTAAAAAATCTCCAAACAAGTCATGGATCAAAATTAAATACAAAACATGATAGACATAATTTAATGTCGGCTTATGAAAGTCATACTTCTTTTGAATCTACTAATACTAATACATCAAAAACATATGCATCAAAACTAACTATTAAAGAAGCTGAAAATTTTCGTCAACATATTGAAAAGAAATATGATGACTTACAGAGAAGTGAAATAAATTATTATTATTATTATATAAATGATCAGTCTGCGATGTTACGCGCACGTGATGTACTTAAACAAGCCATTGATGGTAATTTCAATTATTAAATTAATTTTAAAATTTATATATATGTATGTTTTTTTTTTCGACATATACATAGGAACCTTTTTTGTTCGGTCAGCTGAAGAAAGTGAACGAACTTCGAATATTGAATATTATCTTGATTTTGTTTCTCACAAAAAAATTGTCGAAGTACCAATTTGTTGTGATAAGGAACATCGAACATTTTGGTTTCTTTCCGGTGAGTACATGAATAGATGCTGAGAAGCGAAATTTTCAGTATGGAAACTTTCGGACAAGAAAATTCGACACAATTATTACTTAGCATTAAGAAAAATCAACATACAATACTGACCCAATTGAATATAGTTAGTAATGTATAATTGCATAGAATATTGGATCATAAAAAATAATTAATAATCTTAGCTTGATACAATTATTAGTCATCAATGCATAAAATCAACGTACTCAAGTTTTTATAAGTTTGATCAGTACTGTAAAAGTTTATGGTTGTCCAATTAGATCAGTGTTCTCAAGTAAATATCTAATACATCATTGGAAATGAACAACAAATGACATCTTGAACAATGTTCATTGAAACTTAATGTCAGCAATTGTTTTACTCAATAAGCTACATCTGTACGTTGATTTTTCTTGATGCTAAATCTCCATTAACCTATTAGATCTAAATTTTATTAAAACTAATGATTAAGTTTTTTTTTTGTGTATCTGAAAACGAAAGATTATCAGCAACTTTATTTATTTCAAAAATAATTATTGAACCATATGACAATGCAATAAATAATCTTTATTTTCTTTTCAATCTAAGCTCATTAATAAGTCTTGTGTTTTTACTTTATACAGGATGTGGTCATAGTTCTGAAGTAAGACGAGTATATACTGGTATCGATATACTCATTCGACATAAACAAGAAAATCAATTTTATGAATTACAATATCCAATTCGAATTTGTCTATACCGATCAATTGAACCAACAATCACTACGTGTATTCCACTACCTGATGAAGTTCGTGCCATGAGTTGTCAAAATACTATTCTTCATGTATTAGCTACGAAAGATTTATCATCATACTTTAAGGAACTTATTAGAATATTGAAAAATGATCTTGATCCTCTACGAAAAAAAAGCTTTGTTTATCCTAAATAAAATAAATGGAAAAAATAAACAAGGTCAAACACCATTAATATTAGCCATTCTTTCCAAAAAGTATGTCTTTGTTGAAGATCTTCTTGACAACAAAGCTAATATTAATATAAACGATACAGAAGGTTGTTCACCATTACATTATGCATGTCGACAAGGTATTACTACGATAGTAAAGAAGTTAATTGACCGACAAGCTGATCCACATTATATTAATCCAAGGTATAATTCATTTTTTCATTATTTAATATTGTATTCTTTCATCTTGAAAACATTTCTAGAAAAACTATGGATGATCTTCATCAATCGAATCTATCAACATTTCATTATTTAGCGTTCGTTAATATGCTAAAAATAATTTCTTCTCTAGTGTTAATTTAGTTTCTTTTTAATTTCTAGAATGTCAACAGGAACAATAGATATCAATTTAATCAATAAAATCCTACGGAAGTATCATCTCGTTATGATGCTAAAACTATTTTGCGTGATTTAGCTTGTCCTGATACATTTGGAAAAATTCGATTACTTGTTAAACAATGTGATAATAGACATTGTTTTAAAACTTAAGGTATTTTCTTATTATATCAAACAAAAAAAAACAAGAACCGAACCTAATGGAGAACTTGGTTTCTGTGTTCATCATAATGGACAAGTATTTGATTATCGTATTTCGCAAAGACATAGTTATAGTTTGACGTTTTCATCAAATCCACCAAGAAAGATTCTTTATAAGTATTCATTAATAACTGATACAAACAAGATGACCAAACACAAGTAGTACTGTTTAAATCACCTGACCAATTCATTTATAATCATACTAAATATAAAGGTATATTACCAACTTTATTGCAAAGTTTTGTTCGAAAGGAATATAATGAAATGATACCAATCGATGCTAAAAATCTAATATTACTTAATAATCAACCGGAATCGATGTAAGTAATTCTGTATATTATCATACGATTGTAGACAACTTCGAAACGTGATAGAATACCGATCAATACGCTAACATATTTGTTTGAATATGGACTGGTTGAATGTACTGTATATATGCGTGTATTGCAGCTTTTAAGTACAAATAATGCGAAAAACATATGAAAACAGATGTAGACAGTTTTTGAATGGCTTTCATTCTTTTTCTTTTAAAGCTTTTTATTGCTCTCTAACTATTATGGTCTTAAAGAAGCGATATGTTAGTTACAGGCTCTTGGCATGAGAGCAAAGTGATCAAGAAAACAAACAATAAAAAAGAACAAACAGAAATAGGTTAAAAAGTTTGTAGAAATTCTGCAAAGTAGAGATGTACAGGTTTACTCTACCTACTAAAAACATCGATGTGTGGAACAAAAATGTTTTGATCTTTGCAGACAATGAAATCATGTTCCTTCTTCCTGATATAAAGACCTGTAAGTACTTAGTGACGTCGTTTACTCTAGTAGAATGTAACCATCAAGTGACAGCTCACCATAGACAGAAGCAAAGAAGAAATCCTTCGAGTACAGGCAGCACTATATACTCTTTAGCAAAGTATAGTAAAAAAAAATGGTTAATCCTTAACTGTGAATAGTGGGTATACACAATAGTTTATTCTTCGACTCAGGATGGACTGATAGACGTCTACCTGAATCTAAATGTGAAAAGTTTTTCTTCAAATTTATTATTTGTGATACTGGCAGATAATCATTCAGTATTTCTCTTCTCACTAGAAAACAGAGATCGTTGACAGAATGAAAAACAATATTTGAACTAATCATTGGATTAGAAAAATGTGATAAATTTTTCTAGTAATCCTTCGATTTCATAAAAATGAACATGTGTAAGGTTGACGAAAGAATAGTTGGCTTCAATAAGACATTTATAATAAATTCAAGAGTTTTTTATCCAAATCACTATCTTATCTATACATGCTAGTAATGAGCAGGACTAATCATTTTTAGTTCTGTTCCTGACTTTCGTCAAAAAACTTGTTTCCGGTCTCGACGCGACTGGAATCGTCTTGTCCATGTATAGTATATTCTATTGTTTATTTATTGATAGTACTGATGCTGAAGAATTTGACATTGAGAATGAAGAAACCATTACTGTCAAAGATATTAAGTCAATTGATCATATCGATTTATTTCAAATACAAGCAGCAAAAATTATTCAAGAAAGTGACAAACGATTTGTATGACTAGAAAAAGTTCGATTAGAACATAGAACATCTTTTCCTATCATTATCAAAGATTAATCTACCGAAGCAAAATATTGATTTATTTAAACAATATCGTTTGAAAGAATTAAATAGTCTTTTACGAAATGAACTTACTATTTCGAATGATGAATTTTCCTTGGAATATAGTTCTCGTACTCATCTTGAATATGACAATGAATCAAACATATACTACTCAAACAACTCAAAAATAATCTATTCATTATCCATACATTTCTTTTTGATCATAATTCAGAAAGAGATTTACATTTATTTATGGAATATGTACCAATGGGAAATTTGCATTCATATTTAAGAAAATTAGATCCATATTTATTGGACCCATTAAGAAACGCATTTCATTGAATCTATCAATTATCATAAACTATGGCATTTATATCAAACAATAAAATAGTGCATCATGATTTAGCAACAAGAAATATTCTACTTCAAAATGAAAAATATATTAAACTTAGTGATTTTGGTTTATCACGTTGTGAAGGTGAAAAGCTTGAAGCTAATGATTGTATTGTATCAGCACTTTGGTCTGCACCGGAATGTTTTGATCGAACACAAATACTTTCATCATCATCGGATGTTTGGTCATTTGGGAAATCTATTCATTTGATGCAATACTATATGCAGCAGATATCAATAATAATACTCAACAAGGGATTCGTTTGTTGAAGCGATTTTTAATTGAACAAGGTCGTCGATTGTCACAACCAGAACGATGTTCAGAAAGTTTATATGATTTAATGTATCGTTGTTGGAATGCAAATATAGCTAAACGACCACGTTTCGTCGATATAATCGATGAATTAAATGGAACGAATCTAAGAAAAGATAGTATAATACCATTTACTCATGGAGAAAGAAAGTCAATTCAAACTACATCAACTATTGAGGATCCTTATATAGAACTGGACAATAATGAAGATGAAGATACAATACTTTTGTGACAATGCTTTGAAATATGAACATTTTTTCTTTTTTTTAACTCGACTAACAAAATTTTCCTTGTTTTCGTAATAAAGTTCAACATGCGTATTCATTTTTTCGATCAATGATTTCTATTAGAAACGCTGCTTCTAAATTATCTTCATCAGCAACAAATCCATCATTTCGATCACCTTCTGGTAACTATCGTCATTGTAACAATGACAATCCCCACAAGCTCGTCTTTCTTCATAACATCGTTTCATGAATAATCAAGCTCATACATCTAGACGATCCCAACTTGCACATGCTTTAATAAATCCTGTCAATAATTATCCTAAAGATGATGATCGACATCAATTCACATTTAAAGAACGATTAGAAGAAATTACACAAGAACAGAATATATTGCATACCCGCTATCCATTTGATTAAACATCTCTTTAACTTCACCACTATCAGAAAAGGACAAAGATAACGAAGATAATCAATTAGATTTATTTAATCATGATCGAATCGAATCATTTGAAGATTTAAAAAATCAATGTATACATGAACATAAACAAGGTCGTTATTCACGTATGTTACTTAACATAAATGATCGTAATTTGAACATTCAACAACGATATACAGATGCAACGAACAATTGGGATAAATTAAAACAATAAGATGAACCTGTTATTAAATCGGATTCTATTAAAACTAATGTTGAAGATATTTTTGGACCTTTTGTTGAAAATATAGATAGTTTAACAGCTGATGATTTATTACTTAATCCTGTTGCACCACAGCATATTCAATATTTATGGTCTACTAAACATCGACCATGTAAATCTAGAGCTTTAAAAAAAGTTCACAATGGTTATGATTGGAATCATTATTATAAAAAACATTATGATACAGATCACCTGCCATCAACACTTATTCAGGATTATAAATTCCATATCTTCTACCAGAATTTGAATGATAAAACTACAACACCATTATACAGCCTTACGATTTATGAAGATACTCCACATTTTTCAATTCTCAGATTCCATGCTATATCACCATACGAAGATACTGCATTTCCAATTATTAGTAAACAACGGGATTCTTCCTATAACCATGAATTCAGTGACGTGATCACGATTATCAGACCAATAGGCAAACCTCCCTTGTGTCGAAAAGACACGATGGGCACAATGCGCAAGACTTTTATCGATCGGACAGAACTTTCTTAACTCAACGAAATACTAATAATGTAAAAAACAAAAATGGAAATGAGGTTATTTTATCTATACAAAAAAAGAAATAAGGTGTTTTTATTAACAAAACAAAGATGACATGAGACCCTTTTAATCAAATGTACATGAAACTCAGATTTTAAGCCTGAGTCAGATATGTTCTAGTCTATTTTAATATCTTTTTTGCGAAGAAAAATTACCACTAAATAATCTATTAGTATTAGGTCGCTTTTCATTCGATATACGGTAGTATTAGTGTGTTTTAAAATAGAACCATAAAATTACAAATGCACAATTGTATATATGTATACTTGTTCTTTTCTTTTTTTTTATTTTGCCTTTGCTTATAATATATTATCATGGAAGAAGAAACAAGGCGATCAACTGGACGAGCTAGGCTGTAGTTCATTTTATCTCATATTTCAGCATTATAAGAAGAGACGAAAGAAAAAAGTAAAGAAAAAATATATTTACAATAGTGAACAAGTAAAATTTCAATGGGGGAAAACTTATTAATAAAATTTTCAATGGGCAAAGCTCCAAATTTCAATGGGCAATTGCCGATTTGCCAACCCCTGGTTACGTCACTGCATGAATTTTGATGTCATTTTCCAAATGAAATCTTCCAATTACGGTTTTATTATCGTAAATGGAAATATTGTCGATCAACTTTTTTCTTTTTTTTTGTTTCTTTTTTCCGTTCTCTTTCTCTCTACTTTCTTCTTTACTTATATTATCGTTGTTTTCATGCATCACTTCAAGTGTTCGGAAACATCTTTTTTGTTTTGTTAGCGGGGAGCATTGTTAGGAAACGTCATCTGTCGTTCCCCAACCTTAGAGAGCTGCGGGTCCATGTTTTTTTGGACTCGGGCCCGGACCTGGGCCCCAGAAAAACTAAATTTTCAGACCCGGACTCGACCCGGACCCGGCTGAGCCTAAACCCGGACCCGGCCGGGTCTAGACCCGATCCTTTTTTCACCAATATTTGGCACCCTATGTGTACATGAACAGAAAAGGGAACACAATTTTAGCTCTTTATTGGCGACTTTAAAGGTAAAATGAGTGTAAAATTATTTCTGACTGTTTCTTTTTCAATTTTGTTGACTTCAATTGTTATTGTTATATATTTCCATTCATAACTTAATGCAGACCGGGTCTGACTTTTCTCTTAGGTTTAGACCCGGACCCGGACCGGGGCCCGGGAAAAGCTAAATTTTCAGACCCGGACCCAGGTCTGGAAGGACCCGCAGCTCTCTACCTAACCTCTACGTCCTCTTCATTTGGTTAACGATCTTCTGATTGGTTATTACATAGACTTATATATATATATATTTCTTCTTTTCTTTATTGTAAGTTCAGTTCATTGATTCATTCTTTGTCAAGTTATTGTTATTTGCCACAGCAGTTCAAGAGTTGTTCATGAAATATATTATGATATATTCTAACACATTGAGTAGTCTTTTTGAACAAGCTATTCGAAAAGCTTTTCCCGAAGATCAAACTTTGCCAGCCGTCGTCGTACCTGGACGACAAACTGATTATCAATGCAATTCGGCTATGCCTATTGCTCAGGTTAGAAGAAATTATAATAAATAAATAAATAAATACATGTTCGATTTTTGTTTTAGAGATTAACTGCAGCGGGCAAAAAAATTGTACCAACAGAAGTTGTCAAAATAATTGTTGCAAATCTTCCTCAACATGAGATGATTGGAAAAGTTTGTTAAGATTTAATGATTATCAAAATAAAGATTTTTCATTTTTTTTTAAACAGATTGAATATTCTGGACCAGGTTTTATTAATGTTACTATTTCTGCAACATTTGTTTCCAAACAAATTCGCAATATTCTATTGAAAGGTGTTTTACCACCCAATGTTTTAAATACGGTTGGCAATCATAGAAGTCAGAATGAAAATAAAAAGCCGAAAGTTGTCATTGACTTTTCATCACCAAATATTGCTAAAGAAATGCATGTTGGACATTTACGGTAAGTTCATTAAAGACAAAAAAAAGCGCCAGATTGAAGATGTAATATCTCATGCAAAAATCTGACGGAAAACAAATTTCGAAGTTACAACAATGAATTTCTTCCTCATAATTGATAGATGCCTTTTGTTAAGTTAATGTATTTTCATCGATTGTCAATGACCTGGAACTTTTCCCGAGAATGCACATTCCATCCTTTACTTGCTGATAAAAGACTTGTGGATTTTTGTTAATATGTTGTGGTATTTTTCCGATACTTAATGAAGATCGAAAATCTACTCTTATCAAGTTCCTTAATCATTTTTCTTTCTAACTGTTTTCTGTTTTGAATCAAAGCTATTCTCATATCGTTCTATTTTAAATAGAAGATGTGGGAGTGTTTATCGATTTGTATGGGATGTGTAGATTTAGTTGAAAGAATTGAATATGAATAATTTCGTTTTTTAACGATCTTTCGATCGAATGTTAAAATTAAATGTGCACTGTTTATTTATCTATATATATATAGATCAACCATCATTGGTGATAGTATTGCTCGTCTTCTTGAATATGCTGGTTTTGATGTAGTTCGATTAAATCATCTTGGTGATTGGGGTACTCAATTTGGTATGCTTATTGCTCACTTACAAGATATTTATCCTGAATATAAAACGAAATCACCATCAATTAGTAATCTTTTGTCATTTTATAAAGTAAAATTAATTAATTTAATGTTTAATTTTATTCAAAAATGAAATTTTATTAGGAATCAAAAAAACATTTTGATTCTGATCCTGAATTTAAACAACGAGCTTATGAATGTGTTGTTAAACTTCAAGCATTTGATCCAAATATAATTCATGCATGGAAACTCATATGTGATGTATCTCGACAAGGTTTGATCGAAATAAAATTTTGTTGTCTGTTGATGAATTTTAAATAATAATTTAGATTTCGAATATATTTATAAAGAACTTGATATTAAAATAATTGATCGAGGTGAATCTTTTTATCAAAGCAGAATGATTGATCTTATTAAAGAACTTGAATCGAAAAGTAAAAGAATAAGCATATTTTAGAAGAAAATTAGTATATTTATTTTGTTTTTTTTTCTAAATAGATTTATTAAAATTAGAAGAAGGTCGTCAAGTAATGTTTGTACCTGGAATTGATGTTCCATTAACAATTGTTAAAACTGATGGAAGTTTTACATACGATACAAGTGATATGGCAACAATAAGACAACGTCTAATTGAAGAAAATGCTGATTGGCTTATTTATGTTATTGATTCGGGTCAAGTAAATCATTTTTATAATAAAAGAATTTTGACTTTTATATTAAAAAAAAAAATAGGCTCTTCATATGCAATTAATTTTTGCTGGAGCAAAATTAGCTGGATGGTCTGATAGAAAGAATGTTCGAATGGATCATGTTGGTTTTGGTGTTGTACTTGGTGAAGATGGGTATGAGGATAGATTATTATATATATATATATCGAATAAGAAATATTGATTAATCTTCTGCTTTTTTTTTCTCATAGCAAAAAATTAAAAAGTCGATCCGGTGAAACGATTCGTTTACGAGATTTACTTGATGAAGGTATTGAACGATCAATAGCTAAATTACAAGAAAAAAATCGACATAATGTAAAAATCTCTTTTCTATTCAGCAATTGTTTTTAAATTTTTGTTCTTAGGTATTAACATTTGAAGAATTTGAAAAAGCTCAAAAATCAGTTGCATATGGTTGTATTAAATATGCTGATTTATCGCATAATCGAAATTCTGATTATATATTTTCATTTGATCGAGTAAGAAAAATACAAGAAATTTCAAATCAATTTTTGTTTTTCTTATTTAATTATAGATGCTTGATGATCGAGGAAATACAGCTGCTTATTTACTTTATGCTTATACTCGAATTCGGTAATATAAATATTATTATTTTTTTTTGTTGTCTTATTTATTGAAATATAAAATAGATCTATTGCTCGAACAGCTGGTGTTGATCATGCAGTATTAATAGCAATGATACATGATATTGACCTTAATTTTGAAATTGAAGAACGTGAATTAAAATTAGCTAAATGTATTATTAAATATTCTGATGTATTTACACGAGTACTTGATGAATTATTAATGCATGGTTTATGTGAATATATGTATCAATTGGCAACAACATTTACTGATTTTTATGATCGATGTTATTGTGTTGAAAAAGATAAAACAACTGGTAAAGTTCGAATTAATTATCGACGAATACTTTTATGTGAAGCAACAGCAAATGTATTGAAACAATGTTTTGAAATTTTAGGTATTCAACCATTAGAACGAATGTAATTCTTATGATTAATTATTTCTTGTTTTACAAGAATAATAATCATTACTTTTGGCTTTGTTTTCTTTTAATAAAAAAAAAAAGTTAATAAGAAAGAACGTAACTTGTTTTTATTTTGTATCCGTTGAATAATTCATTGATTATTGTTATTCATCATTTGAACAATAATTTTGGAGAGAATAAGGAATTATTTCAGCACTTTCATATAAATCATCATCTAATTTAAGAGAAAGTTCTAATTGAAATAGATTTGTGATCGAGTTTCTTTTGTTGTTATACCATATTCAAGTAGATGTTTACTATTAATATCAACTATTTGACCTTTTCCAATGAAACGTATTGTATGAGGATCTATTCGAAGTACATTTCTAAGAATTTGTAAATAACAATCAGAATATATATTGACAATTGATGATATTAGTGGCTACTAGAGCCCGTTGGGTCCAAGATTTTTGGACCCGGAATCTGATCCGCGCCCGATTATTCAAAATTTCTTCTGCGCGGATCCGAACCCGGACCCGCTTGTTTAGAAAATGTTGGACCCGGAGCCGGTCGCTTAAATTTTTTGAACCCAAACACAATGATAGATCAGTTTATATAATATAGTTAACAAGTATTTTGTTATTTTTTATCTATTTTCTAAATACATTCGATTTCTTCTTCTTCATAAAACAAACAAAACTTTAAAAAAATTCACAGTACATTGTATGCATCAAAGTTTTCTTCAGATCCGGGCACGATCCGGATCCGGTCAAAACGAAATTTTTATACCCGAATCCGGACGCGAGCAGACCCGGGTCGGGTTGGGGTCCTATCCGACGAGCTTCAGTGGCCACTGAAAGAAAAAATTGGAAACGAAGAATAAAAAATAATAATCGCAAATAATTTTTTTATTTAGTTTAAGTTTTAAAAAAAAGCAAGAATAAATATTTTTACAATATCTAATTACAGAGCGAAATGAAATAGCAAATGCTCATCTATTATAAGACAATAAGAGAAATTCATAATGATAGTAAATTTTAATATTATTGCCGTTTAAGTTCGGCTATTTCTTTTTCAATTCTTTTCTTTTCAGCTGCAAGAACAGCGAGTCGTTGTTGAAGTGAACCTCCTGAACTTTGTCTACCCGATTGTTGCTGGGTGTGGGTGTGAGTCTTTGTTTTCAATTCAAACTCATATTCCTACCACACCCACACCACCCATACATACTCTCACCCACCCCCCCCCACCCACCCACACCCATCAACTATTGAGGATCCTTATATAGAACTGGACAATAATGAAGATGAAGATACAATACTTTTGTGACAATGCTTTGAAATATGAACATTTTTTCTTTTTTTAACTCGACTAACAAAATTTTCCTTGTTTTCGCAATAAAATTCAGCATGCGTATTCATTTTTTCGATCAATGTTCGATAGAGATGTAGGGAAAAGATGAAGAATAGTCTGTAAATTCAAAGAATTTTTTCTTTCAAATTGAATTTGAAAGAAAACATTGTGCATAGTGTTTCTCAAGGACTAAGTAATGACAGATAATGATTCAAAGTTATATGACAATGAAATTTAATAAAGAGCAATATCCAATTGTTGCATTTATTAAAACTTACAAAATTATTCATTAATAATTTAAAATTTGAAAGACTCATGAAAAAGATCAAACTATCCAACAAAGTTTTCGAACAAGTAGATCAAGAATTGTCAACCTGTGTTTCATTTGCTAGTGTTTACATTTGATCTCAACTCTATTCTAATGATGTTAGTTTGTTGGGCATCTGATCTTCATATGAAATCCTATGATTTCCTTCGCAATACCAGAAAAACTGACTTTGTCGAAAATGACAACCATGATATTGATACAAAAATGTACCGTAAGAAATGCACTATCTCTGCAGTAATAGGCTAAGAATGCGAACTCTTTTTAGAATATTGATAATTCATTATGGTCTATATGATATATATAGTTCCAATTATCAGCTGAAGGACTTCTTTCGTAGGACTAAAAATGTTCAATATCTAATTTAATACTTTTATATTGTCTCATCAGTCACAACACAAACATAACAAAACGAAAAAAAAACGATAAATGGAAAGATTGAATCTATGAAAAGAGTATCGATTTCTTTTTTCTCCAGTAAGCTAAGATTTTAATCAAAGTTGATCGATACATCTCAATTCATATTAATCCTTAATACTTCAATAATTCGTATAAAGTTCCAATTCTAACCGGTTGTTTTCATATCATATGATAGAACTTTTCTGTATTTAAATCATTCATGATTTATTAGCCTAAAACTAGATATTATACTTCGTTTGATTTTCAGAAAATGTACATTATAATAAATCATTATTCGATATATCAATTTTTTAAAAGCATCAAATAGGATTTTTCGATCTCTTAATCAAGCAACAGCAAAATAATATACTTCAAGCTACTTCAATTTTTTTTTTCATCTTTTAAACACACGAGAAAAGAAGTACAAAAAAAAACACAAAGAAAATGATCTTATCTAGTTTAAACGAAAAAAAAAACCATCAACAATATGAATAAAAGAGACAATTTACTAAATATCAAGCAAGTCGTTCAAGTGCTTCAATCATTGAAACACTATTTCCTCGTGCAACAACCATACCAATTGGACGTTTTTCACCTGTTTTAAGAGCTTCATAAGCTTCGTCAATAACTAAATTCATGAATGGATCAAAACCACGTAATACACCAATGACCGTACGATTACCATTTAATTTTAATTGACATCGTTTATCCATAAATTTTTTTAATTCAGGTGGATTAGCTTTGCCTAAAGTAAATAATTCATAAAATAAAATAAAAAAATATTATATTAAGTAAAACTCACCACTCATATTGAATTATATAAATATTTTTTAAAGAGAACTAAGAAAATATTTTATCTGAAAATACAAAAGATTTATTCTAATAAATAAGAATTAAAATAAAAATAAAAAAGAAATAGTTGTTGTGAATAAATTGACTTCTACAATTTGACATGAATTTCTTCATTGATTTATTTGAAGAGAATGATTTGCATAATTTTCTTTTTTTATTATCTCATAGTAACAATTCAAACTCATTTTAATGAAATTTCTGCTTTGTGAAATCAAATTATATTTATGAAGGAGTTATTCGAACACATTTATCTTACATTCAAAAGAGTAATTAAGAAAAAAAATATACAAAAAGTGAAACAAACGTTTCACAATACTACTAGTAAGATCGAATCAAAAGATGGGGATAGATGTCGCTTGAATACAAGTGTACGTATTCAAAAAGCTTGTGGTTATTAAGGATACGTCAATGGTGACGATTCTCTAGAATGGACAATGACTTTTAACTTTGGATAATATGAGGATTTTCAAATCTGTAATGTATTCATTTACTCTAATGAGTATTGTTCCTAGCTATAATCAGTGACGTATTCAGGATTTTTCAGTATGCTGAATCACGATTTCCGAGCACGGGACCCAGATGAAACTCATGGAGGGTGATGTTGGATCCAAATAATGAAATTTTATCAAAAAAAATTTATACTCGGAGTTTGCGAAAAAAATTAGCATTTTCCTGATCCCCCCCTCGAGGATTTTTTGCTGTTAGTAGTATCATGGTTTTTAGAATTTCATAGGAAGCTACACCGAATTTCATCGATAGACTTCAAATGTCGTTTAAAAATATGCAACCGTTCAAGAGTTATAACTTTTCGAGTTTTTGCTACATGTGAAAACAATTTTTGCAAAATTTCAAATCGTCATAACTCTTGAACGGTTGCATATTTTCAGACGAAATTTGAAATCTATCGATGAAATTCGGTGTAGCTTCCTATGAAATTCTAAAAACCATGATACTACTAACAGCAAAAAATCCTCGAGGGGGGGATCAGGAAAATGCTAATTTTTTTCGCAAACTCCGAGTATAAATTTTTTTTGATAAAATTCCATTATTTGGATCCAACATCACCCTCCATGAGTTTCATCTGGGTCCCGTGCCCGGAAATTGAGATTCAGCATACTGAAAAATCCTGGATACGTCACTGAAATAAGAAACAAAACTTTTTAGTGCAGTTTCTTTAGAAATAACGTGTGAAACTCACATGTGTTCTTTAGCCTTATGATATTGATACAAAGTATGTCAAGCGAAAAATCTTTGGTACGTTACAATTATCTTCCAAGATGATCGATCAGTGTTATTTATTTCTAAATTTCGAGCATAGTTTTCTTTTCTCGTTACAGACGCTTTATTTTTTATTTGTTTTGTTACTATTTGCTCGTTGTTTTTCTTTTTTTCTTTATTTAACATTATTATTATTCTAACTAATATTGATTTAACTAGTAAATAAGCTTATTGTACATATCTATTTTATCTAAAACAAGTCTCAATACATTTTTATATATTTGAATAAACTCAGAAGCACTAATATTGATTATTTCTCTTAGTTACACCTTGATCAATTTACATTTTTTTATGCTGTCATATGACGACTTCGACAAATCAATGCATGACTACTCATCATCCTCGACATCTTGAATATAATTTTTTTTTTTTTTACAAAAATAAGAAATTGCACTACTAAAATATTTATAAATGTATTTGAGCCATTTTATTTTTGAGAAAGACTTTAGAATGTTTTTGGCGTCTTACCCGTCGCTAAGAAACTCTGGACAAAGGGTTCAATACCTCTTGTTCTCGGTAACTTTGGAAACATAACCAATGAACAGCCCAGTTGCTAAAATTTGCAATGGGGAACCACTAAACTTTGAATTAAAAGTTACATTCAATATTTTTTTCGAAAACAATATATATATATATATGAGTTCCACAAGATATATCTAATATAATGCAATTTTAAATGCTATACAAACGTAAGAAATCGAGAACATTTACAATGATAATAGAAAAGAAAAACAATTTCGTAGTCATGTATTAAATCTGACATGTTTATCAAGCTAATTCATCCGTATTAAGACTATGCGACTTCTATTTGAATTT